TTTCTTGAGGAGCTTCATGTTGTAGCTGGGCTCGGGGAACCAGGCGTTAAGTACCCTAAACCCTAACCCCTCAAAAAATCTGTTGGACTAATAGAGCATATCTTGGACCAAAAGGGTGTGTTTGGCGGCCTGGGACTACTAGAGAAAATCCTCAGAAGCACAACCCAACCTTAGGGCCCCCTGTACATCCCAAACTAGCAGGAACTGAACCCATGATCTCGCGAAACTCCCCCATTCTATGAGCCATTATAAACTCCTAGTATCTGCCTTACTAACCCCAACAATACCCCCCCCATATAATTCGCTTTTCTAACCCCCTTTGGGGAGTTTAGACCCTAGACCCTAATCCCTAAACCCTATAGGATTCCTTGTGTAACTCCCTTTAAGGACTTTAGACCAAAATTCCCTGTATAATCCCCTTCAAGAACTTTAGACCATCATAGCTCCTATGCCGCCCAAATGAGTAGTGTTTTTTTGGTGGTTAAGATAATATTCCTTACATAAAGTACTATACCCAAAAGGAGGATATTATCTTACTCTATATTGGGTACCATAGTATCCCCAAATAAAATACTACTCAAATATTTGCCGTGGTTTCGGAAGGCACTCCGCAGGATGATCCAGCTCAGGATGGAAGTAAAAGCCCGTGCGATTGCCGTCGATGCCTGCCCGGTGGTTAAAATTACCGTACTATGAGCTATAGCCTATAGTCTAAACTCCTTAAAAGGGGGTATATAGGGGATTATATCGGGGACCATTATAGGGGTCCATTATGCGGGATACTAGGAGTTTACACTATAGCTAATATGAATATACAGTAAAGTTTCCTTGCGTAGGGGGGCCAAATTTGCTTTCTTGTGGGCCCTTCTAGTGGCAAAAAAATCTCAAACCCAGAGCTTGACAAATGTCTCTGCGACCTCAAGGCCTGGCCATCCCCATTTCTCGACCCATGCGCATGCAGTATACTGGGGATAATGGAAAATAAAATGGAAACTACTATAGTATAAGGGTATATATTGGGGTCATATTGGGGATAATTGAAAAGAAAATGGAAGCTACTATACTATATTAGCATTTAGATTGCAGTGTTACTCGTGAGCCAAAGTCCAAGTGCTGATTAAACCTGCACGAAGAGCCTGACATGTCTCAAGAACTGTCCTCCTAGACCCTCCTCCTACCCTCTATTAGGGCCTAAGTACCCACTATTAAGAACCATATATCCCCAATTAAGGGTACAAGGAAGGTCCTGGCTGTTATTTGATCGTTAGCAAGGAACCGTGCTATGGATGTTGGATTGCGCAGGAACCTTCTATTTCGACAAGTGGCCGAGTTGGCTAGGTCTGCAACGACAGAAGATACTAGAGGGTTTAGGGTTTAGGGTCAACACTAGTGCCAAGCACTTCTCTCCGCACAAGAGCGAGCATGGCTGGCTTGTGGCGGTTGGCTCAACAAGTGTGCAATCCACTGCTTGGAACAGTTGTGGGGGGTGAACAGGATTTGGCTGTGCGATGATCCAGAGAGCCTCAACATGACAAATCGGGCAAGAGATCCGATCCTCGCGAGTAATTGTTGACATTCAGCGTCCCACGCTCACGGATCGAGTCCTGGCGGTGACCCGCGATCAGGGTTTCGTGAAGGGTCACGCGGCTTAGGGTTTGACGTTCGCGGCTTGTTGGCTAAAAAAATGCAGTCACCCAAGATTCGCCTGAGCTGCGACCTGTTGCGTACTCCCCATTCCTCACAATGATAGGGCGCAGGGAACTAATACCAAAGCTGTAATGAGTTGAGGGCATGATTTCTGCACATACTGCAACAGTTCTAAACACTGAGTTGCAAATGCGTACTTTTAAGCATAAGTCTGCCCCGAAGCTCCAAAACCCTTGGCCCTGAACCCCATCCCCAAAGCCCCGCCCTCAGCCCATCCTAAACCCTACTCTGAACCCCCCCACACACCCCGGGCAAGACCACAAACCACAGGATCTCCTTCGCCTCATCCGAGAGCTTGCCCAAGCGCTGGGCCAACGGAAGGAGCTCACAGCGGATGCGCCGCACTTGCGACTGGAAATCCTTGGGACTCACATGATGCCGGGAGGTTCCCGCAAATATACATTATACTTTACTATCATATACTACAATATACTGTAATATCCCATAACATACTGCAATAGTGGGATTCAGGGGGTTGTGAAATTTAACATGTCTGGGGCCATGCCGGTTGAGTCAGCGCGGCTTGGTGTCTCGTGTGTCTCGGCTTCGGGCTGGGAGACTGTACTTCTGGGCCTTTAATTATAATTAGGGGCTTTATAGGGGTTATATAAGGGCTATATAAGGATAATGCAAAAGGAAATGGAAACTACTATTTAGGGTTTAGGGTTTAGGGGTGGGTTTGGGGGCGTATTGAGAGGCTAGGTTTGAGTGAGGTTTCTCAGCGCAGGCTGCCTTGAGAAACCCTAGGGGTACATGGGGAGTATGAGAGATTTCTAGCTCCCCATCAATGACTTCATGGGAGTAATTTTGAGAACGTCTCACTTGTCCAAATATCATCACGATGAGAAGAACGAGACCCAAGCGAGCGCGCGCAAGCTACAAACCCCAAGCCTAAACCCCAAACCCTCAACCCAAAACCCCATTTCACAAACCCAAACCCTCAACTTCCTCAACCCCTCAATCCTTCAGCCCTCAACCCCAAAACCCTCAACTGTGCCTGGTCCCCAGTGAGGCAAAGAAGGCCAAGGCCATCGGGACCAAACGCAGCATCCAAGGTTTCCCGCAAACTGTTGGAAACCTGGGAGCTGCTGAACATATCAAGACTTATCCATTGGGATAATGGAAAAGAAAATGGAAACTACAGTGGTTATATAGGGGTTATATAGGGATAGTGGAAAAGAAAATGGAAACTACTATGTAAGGTTTAGGTTTTTAGAGTTTAGGATTTAGGGGTTTAGGGTTTAGGTTTATGCTAGGGATTGTATTAGGGACTATATTGGGGGTTAAAAAGGGAGAAATGGGAACTACTATCTAGGTCTTCGGGTTAAGGGGTAGAGTTTAAGGTCCAATTCTGTTTATCGTCTTCTCGAACTAGACTTTGAAGTGGATTTAGGAATTAAGGCTTGGGGCCTTAAAAACCCCATGTCCTGATACACGGTCATCACCATTATCAGCTCTTCTGAGATTGGCGTCTTCATGTGGAACTCTGCGGTCCATCAATGCTCCCCACAATCAACATAAATGATACTCGGAAAGCGAAAGGCCCTGTGTAATGGTGTACCGGAAGTGATGAAAATTGATAGCGCAAGGCATCTGCACTAACTTGCATCCCCGTCCAATCCCCACATGATATGAGCACGGCTGAAATGGCACAAGTCTCACAATCGGCCCTCAGCTCCAAACCTATAGTCCCCCTTAAGTAGATCGAATATGGGGTATATGGCGATCTTATTAGAATATACCCAAAAACATATTCTATCTACTTAAGGGGGACGATAAACCCTAAACCCTAAATAGTAGTTTCCATTTACTTTTCCGTTATCCCAAAATTTCTCCTGTATTCTATCTACTCCAGGGAGACTGTAAACCCCAAGAAAATCTTCGCACTGCGGAGAGAGCACTTCACCTCGTAAGGCCTCCGTGTCCGGGAGTGAAGCGAGGGCCACGCAAGGGACGTCCGCAACGTTGCTCATAGCTCCATCCAAGTAGTATATTGGGTTTATATTGGTATAATGGGAAAGAAAAAGGAAACTACTATTTAAGGTTTAGGGTTTAGGGTTTAGGGTTTAGGGCTTCGAACGGTGGGTGAAGGTAGTTTTGCCGAGGCACACATTATCTAAGGTTGAAAGTATGGGCCCTTAACCCTCGGATCCTTATATACTTACTATATACCCTATATGTACCCTTAAGGGTCCCTAAAAAGGCCTAAGGGCCCATATTAGGGGCCCATACTTCTAACCTTAGACATTAGAGTTTTAGAGTCTGATATTCATCTCCCGGGCTCAGGATGCGAAATACTGGGTTGCTGTTAAGGAACTTAAATTAAGTTACCATAATGGGTATATATAGTAACTAATAGGGGTTCCCCAATATAGTAACTTAATTTAAGTTCCTTAACAACAACCCAGAATAGCGCATGGCTTATCCAGGACGGGCAGCAGCTGGTTATCTAGGACCTTACAGGGATCCTTTTTGGGCCAAATAGCTGGCTTGTAGCGGCTTCAGGCTTAGGGAATCTCAATAGCCCAGGGCTTTGGTTCAGGGTCAAGTTTCTGGGGTCTGAAAGCTTCCAGTCTAGATCAAAGGCTTCGGAGTTTAAAGCTTAAGCTTCTCAGAGCTCAGGACGTTTAGCCTGTGGCTCTTACGCGAAGCCTTATACCTGGCACCTCCTAGCAAAGCTAGGAGTTTCCATACTATGAAGCCTCTTCCCCTAGTCTCAGGTGTCCTGAACCAAGCTGCGGGCCGGCGAAGCATGGGCAGTGACACTCACAATCCACGACTATGACACAGTACTGACATGGGGATTTCGAAAAATTGCCCCCAGAATAGCCCCTGATGAGGGCCCCTTCAATACCTGGGGCCTCAGGGCACCCTTATTTTGGTGAGAAGGCCCAGATAACCGCCGTCACCATCATCTGTCACATATAGCAGCATTTGAGAGCGTTAAAATGCGGATACCCTTAGGGGGTCCTATGGATATATGGTAATTGATCACAATGTATGTTCCCAAATGGCCACATGGAAAATGATTTCCCCCACATTTCCTGACTTGCAGGATCCATACCTTTAGACCAACCCACATATGGGACTGCATGTAGATTGTGGGAAACCCCAAAAAACCCTAAAACCCTAAAACCCTAAACCCGAAAAGCCGTGTTCAGAAGCTCCATTGTCAAGGGCCATGGTAGACTTCCCCTCTCCTCCCTGGATACTCCCAAATGGTAATCCCAATAATCCATTCCCCCATTCCCTCCTGAGCATCAGGGAGTAGACTTACCCTCTCAGCTTCTGGCCGGCAATGCTGAAAGCTTGCATGATGGCGGCGGGGCCCCAAATGTTCAGATCATCCTAACAGGGCTTTTGGACTTTTAGAGCTTAGGGTTTAGAGTTTAGGGTTTAGGGTTTAGTTGAAGCCGTCTAGCTTGGCAATGTACCAAAAAAAGTCATTCCCAAAATGCTCTTACAAGGAATTGGCCTAGGGGGGGAACTACCCTTCTTGGGTCATGGGAGACTACCTGCCTGTAGATGGCTTCTATTTAGGGGCTGGGCTTCCTGGGTCGGACTTTTGGTCTAAGCTGTGATTTCTTGTCTGGGATTGGGGGGTTCAGAGTGGCGGTTTAGGGTTTAGGGTTTAGGGTTTAGGGTCCCTAAACCCTAAACCCTAAACCCTAAACCATCTGCTCATGCTTCGATTTGACTCCTGTAAGGGGGCAGGAATTTCACGAGACCGGCATTCTATCGGGCTCTCACTCTCGCGACAAACAGCCTGGATATTGAGGGATATAATATAGAGTATAGTATAGAGGTTATAATGGGGAAAATGGAACATAAATTGGAAACTACTATAACATAAGTTGGCCAGACCAAAACGTCAAGTCCTCAAACCACCAGCACGAAACCTTAGAACTAACAATTCCGTAGCTCTTGCTGTTGAATCAGCGTTCACACGCGGCACACAAAAACGCGGAGTGCCACCATCCATTTTAAGGGTGAAGGGAAAAATGAGCCTAGATTAGCCCTTAACTGCCTTGACTGCAGCCTTGAACATAAGGAAGTCCCTCACTGGTCCTTCTATCCAGGCCCCCTCAAAAAGATAAACCACGCCCTGCATCCCACCGCTCCCCTCTTCCTAGACTCCACACCTGTAATTCCACCACCGCCCTGAAGATTCCCAATATAATACCATCATATCATGGGGTGCATAGCCATTTGCAGTGGGTGGGGGGATGATGTATCACAAGGGGGGAGGAGCCTAGTCTTGGGCCCAGTTCCCCTTCTTCTGGGCGCACCAGAACGTCCAGCATGGAGTTGGTACCGCGGATGGCGAATACAATGGTGGTGTTCCTGCCAAGTTGTGGGGGGCTTAGGCCTTAGTGTAAAGTGCCTAGGGTCGAGGGTTTAGGGTTTGGGTGTTGAGGGTTTTGGGTGAAGGGTCTCTTATAAGGTCTAGGGTTTAGGGTTTGTTACAAATGTTTGCGGAGCCAGTTGGCAATTCTTTCTGTGCCAGGCCAGACTTTGGATTCCATCCAGCGCAGCCCAAACCCTAGACTCTAAACTTAAAGCAGCTCAGGACTTGAGCTGTCTTCACTCCAACAGGTCGCCATGAATAGAAAACTCTGCAAAGAGCACTGCATCAGTGGGATAGCTCAGCTGTAGGCGAAACTCTGTACGTCAAGCTAAGATGTTGTCTAATTGCTGCAGATTCCGCAAACGGCTCACGTGGGATTTTCCGTAGATAGGGGAACCCTTCTTATACGACCATAGATTATGTTCCTTACTAGATGCGAGCCCAAGGAACCCTAAACCCTAAACCTCTAAGTTTTGAAGCCCTCATCTGGTTCCAGAGGATCCAGCTCGGGGTCCCAGAACTCGAAGTACGTGGTCCTGCGGCAAGGCATGCTGGGACGATGAGAAACTCCTGAAGACTCCAGCGTAAACCCGGAAGCTGAAAACCTGTGTGCCCTGAAGACTTGTAACCTGACAGCCCTCAACCCAGCAAACCTCTGAACTCAACCCTTGAAGCGTTTAGGGTTGAGGGGTTTAGGGTTTTATGGTTTAAGGGTTTAAGGGTTTGAGGGTTTTAGGGGTCGTTTAGGGATTGAGGCACTCTAATACCTGTCATGCTCGGGACAAAAGCTGTGTTAGAGCTTGGCAATAATAACAAGAAGAAGAATGGTAACGAGGGTGATACTGGAAATAACGGTGATAATGGTAATAGTAATCGCAAGAAAATAATCGTAATACTTGTAATAATAGTAATAAAGGAATACACATATACTAGTAGCAAAAAATGGTAATAATGGTAAAGTACCCCATAATAATCCCAGTTTCC